CTGTCTTTCATGCTTCTATCCCATGTGATTGAACAGGTTCCAGAAGTGTCCAGAATTACTGTATATGTTCCACAGACTCTATGCTCTAGTGCCTGCTAACCGTGGCTTGAGGAAATGTCTCAGGGTTTGGATTAGGGTTAGGGTTATAAAACGTGTTAAATTGAAAATAAAGATCAGGATTAAGGAATTTTGTAAGTGTTTTAAGTGGACATTTAAAGATGCAAGTGTCCTGCAGTCTGTGTATGACAAACATCACCTCACTTTCCAGCAGAACTCTTAGGGGAGGGATTCCAGCCATCCATTTTCCAACAGCTTTATCCAATAAAGGGTGGTGTGGGAGCTGGAGCCTATCCCAGCAAACAGTGGGTGCAAGGCAGGGTACACCCTGGACAGGACGCCAATCCATCACAGGGCAGACCGACACCAACACACTCACACCAGGGCTAGCTCCCCCAGAAGCCTGTTAACCTACCAGCCTGTCTTTGGACTGTGGGAGGAAACTCAAGCACCCAGAGGAACCCCACATGAACACAGGAAGAACATACAAACTCCACACAGACAGCACCCAGGTCCAGAACTGAACCCAGGGCCCCAGCGCTGTGAGGCAGCAATACTAACTACTGCGCCACTGTGCTGCCCTTGTCTCAGGAGATTATCTGATAGAATTGGTTCACTGAATGAACAAACAGGGTTTTCCTCACAGCAGTTTACAGGCTCTTTTTTCTATTTATTTTTTTCCTTTGTTTCTTTTACAGAGTGTTACTCAGGTGTGGGGAACAGTCTGTGTTTGTGGGATTTTTTAATCCTGATGTCGAGCTGAGTTTATTGGCAGAATTCTCTGACATGTTGTCTTAAGGATAAAGGCAGGGGTGTCCGAGTCTTGGAAGGCAGGTGTGTGCACAGGCACTCGTTCTAACTCAGCTCTTAACGAACTACACCAGTTCATTATTGACTTGACAGGACCAATTTATCAGCTTCTCCCTGTTTTGCAGGTGCTGCTGCTTTACTGAGACCTGCAGACACAGCGCCCCCTGCAGGACCAGGACGGGATGCCCCCAGTACAGTTCTTTCTTTCCATTAATCTTTATTCCACAACTGACTAGGGGTGCCCATTAGCCAAACAGAATTGCCGTGACTGAGTTTCTTTGGGCATTCCTGGTCTTCCATTTGCTTCAGGTTTTTAACCCCAATTGTCCCTGCCCTTTCCGGGGGCCTGCAGATTTTCCAGGAGTGGTCATGCTTCCTCTGAGCTGCAGGATTTCTAATCTACAAATTGGAATGTAGTGACCTACTCCAATGTTTATCCCAATCTTCTCACTTGGTTTCACAATGCTTCTGTAGAATGGCCAGTTTCACCTTGAACGTCTTTTAATTTCCCTGGCTGTCTTGTAAGGGTGATTCCCTGGAATCTGGACGCTGGGCCCGTTGTTGCAGGACCGCAGCCGGGAGACTGTGCTGACAGCGCAGGCCTGGCCTGGGATCTTGAAGAGACCCCCCTCCAGGGCGTGTGCCTTGAGTGGGCCGGCTCCTGCACCCTCCGACCAGACCGCCCAGCTGGACTTTCCTGCCCAGCCCGTTAATTCCGACAGATTGATTGGCTCTGTGTCACGGCAGCCGGTTTTGACGCCCGTGGAGTGCGTTATTAAAGACCCTATGCAGACGGTATAATCCGTAAAAGATGACGGAGGAAGGTACAACAGGGATGGGATGGGTGGACAGACAGGGGGCGGTGACCGTAGTGAGCAGGTGCAATCAACCAACATAGCGGGACCAGGTACTCTGAATCCCAGACCCAGGTGGGGAAAAGGCCTGCCTTCGGAGAACCCGGAAAATAGGCAAGCCTTGTGGCGTCCATCTTCCAGTACTGAGCCCGAACTGCAGAGACGCTGGGCTTTTAACCAAAAGGCAAACGAGAC